AGACTTGGCGGACATTGTTCCCTCCAATGATGACTTCGTTTGTGTGATCTTTGGAGCATCTCTTGTTCACGGCCTGAGCAATCACGGAGTTATTGGTCAAGATTCCGGTGGATTTCCGGTGCAGTCCATGGGCTCCTCGGAGATTAAAGGCACACTGGTCCATGGTGACCTTGATCACTTGATTCCTGGATGCCAGTTTCTGCATCGGTTTCGTTCTCCATGAGCTGGCGGTCGCCGGATGCTCAAATAAAAAACTTAAGCCAAGGTCCAAGCACATTTCACACATTTCCGCAGCGAAGTTCAACAAACCTTGAGCTTCCCGACGATTGGTGATGAATCCTTTCATGACTTCTTCATTTCTGTCCCGATAATCTTTCAAAAGGTTCTAAAACGCTGAGTACTTCCGACATGGTGGGGAAATGATAACAAGTCCTGGTCGTTCTGCTTGAATGTTGTTACGAACTGTTTGACGTTTTTCCTCCTTGGGCAAATCGGTTCCTAGTTCAAGATCAAGCGCTCTTCCCCTATGGAGTCCACAGGCCTCGGCTGGCCTTTGAAAACATCCAGGATTATAGATCTCTGAAACCTTAAGCAACTGGTGGTGGGTCAAACCCATAGCATTTGTAATGGCTCTAGTTTCCTTGGTCCCGCTCGGATGAACTGCCAGTTCGCTAGCACAGCGTAGCATTCCATCGCCGAAAATACTCAACCCATGCTAACTTGCCTTGCTCATTGCAGTAGTCTTGAAACATAAGCCGTATCTGTTTCCAGAATGCAATAGTTTTCTGTAAAGCGGCCTTGATCTTTCGGCGATGCTTTGCTGTGAGATCGCATCGACCTTCTCTCACTTCGTCTGATTCTTCTGTTGCCACTCCTTGAACTTCATGAACTCCTCGAAATCGCTCTTGCCGTAGGTCTCGTCCAAGGTCGTTCCCCGGGTTGGGTTCGATGCTTCCAGCTGGTCAGGTCGTGGAACGGCTGATTCGCGGTCCACTTGAAGAACCGGCATTGGTGGTTGATCTTCTGAGGGCACCGAAAGAACGTCTTCTCGAAGTTCATTCCGGTCTTCCGACACATCCAAAGTTTGCAAGGTTCTCGGCAATGGCATGGTGGAGGTTCTCCAAAAAGTACCTGGTACCCGTCGATCTTGTCCAAGTTGCCCACGTGATTCTCCGGGATGAAGCAAGTGGTCTGGCTTGACCCCCTCGGTTCGGGATCGACCGAGGTCTCGGTGATCAAACTGTACTCGTCGTTTGACATCGTCTGGGCAGCCTCCTGCTTCCGAATCTCCGCATCCACCTAGTCCCGGAGCGTCTTCAGAAGTTCAGGTCCATGGTGCAACTGAGAAGTCCGGGTAGGGCTCTGTTCAACTGGTCTATCACTCCTGGAACCAGATAGCCGCTCATGGCATTGCTGAATGTTTAGAACCTCAAATTCGGAAGTGGGCTGTTGCAAGATGCGTCACCAATACCGAAGAAAACTCCTGCAAAGGTACCCGGAGAGCTCCAGCGGGTCCTATACCCACGGAAACGAAGTGTCATTCCTTGGTCGTGGTCAAGACAAATCATGGCCTTGCAGTTCAGAAATGAAAGAGAAATGAGAAAAGGAGCATCTTGACTCAGTCCTTCTTTGAGTACTGCAGGCCGTAGAAAGGCTCCCTTGGTTCCTAGGCTCGTCGGCACTGATGCAACATGATGAGAAGTGGATATTCCATGAACACTGCGAAACCGATTGATCTCAGGATGAAGAGTAACTCGAAGAGGTGGTGGCAGCTTGGCCGCGTACTTCTCAAGAGTGTCGGATCCGACTGCGAGCGTCTGACATCCAGTGTCTATAGTTGCACATGTGTGGTCGTCCACTGACCCACTCTTACCAAAAACCTGGTTGTAAAAGCACTCAAACGTAACATTCGATCTCAAACCAAAAAGGTCACCACAAAAAGGGTTCACAGACTTCTGGCTACTGAGCGCGTAATACTCTCGGACTTCGGACGAGTCCTGCGATCCCGTTGGCAAAATGGCATGATGGAAAATGTCGCTAGTCATTGGGCTCTCAGTAGTCGACTCTGACGCGAGCATCTGATCTCCACTCTCAAGTAGTCCAAGGAAGTAGGCATCGTTGGTCTCCGTCAAAATCTCGAGGTGATGCCCTTCATGACCTGAGGCAGCTTGTCCCCCCCGGCACTTGGGACATTCTGCGGACCCTCTGCGGGGATCGGCGTGGTTGAGGTGCAAAAACTCGAGTTTTTTTTGTTTTGCGTTTTTGTCGGCGCGCGTGACCCTCTGCAAGGATCGGCGTGGTCAAACTCGAGTGTTTTTTTTTGCGTTTTGCGGCGCCCGGAGGAACCCTCTGCACGGACAAAAACTCGAGGTTTTTTGCGCTTTTTGGTGCAAAAACTCGAGTTTTTTTGCGTTTTTGACATTCCCGGATGAACCCTCTGCGGGGCTCGGTGTGGTCGAGGTGCGAATTGATCTTTGGCAATTGTCTCGTGGTTTGCGCGGCCGCTCTCCGAGTCGCGCGGTCGCGGGTTTGATCCTCGCCAGGTCCGCGGCAGCTCTGGCTGCAAAATCGGGAATTTAAGTACAAAAGTAGTACGCGGAGTACATTCCCGCAGCTCCAGCTGAAAGTCGCAAACTTTAAGTACAAAAGTAGTACGCGGAGTACATTCCCGCACCTCCAGCTGCAAAATCGCAGATTTTAAGTACAACAGTAGTACGCGGAGTACATTCCCGCAGCTCCAGCTGCAAAATCGTAAATTTTAAGTACAAAAGTATTCCTGTAGCTCCAGCTGCAAAATCGCAAAATTTAAGTACAAAAATAGTGCGCAAAGTACAGTCCCGCAGCTCCGGCTGCAAAATCGTAAATTTTCAGTACAAAAATAGTGCGCAAAGTACAGTCCCGCAGCTCCGGCTGCAAAATCGTAAATTTTCAGTACAAAAATAGTGCGCAAAGTACAGTCCCGCAGCTCCGGCTGCAAAATCGTAAATTTTCAGTACAAAAATAGTGCGCAAAGTACAGTCCCGCAGCTCCGGCTGCAAAATCGTAAATTTTCAGTACAAAAATAGTGCGCAAAGTACAGTCCCGCAGCTCCGGCTGCAAAATCGTAAATTTTCAGTACAAAAATAGTGCGCAAAGTACAGTCCCGCAGCTCCGGCTGCAAAATCGTAAATTTTCAGTACAAAAGTAGTACGCAGAGCACAGTCCCGCAGCTTTGGCAGCACTTGCGCAGAGCAACTTGCACAAAGCAACTTGCGCAGAGCAACTTGCGCAGAGCAACTTGCAAGCAGCGCACATGCGCCGTAGAGCTTTTCAAAAAATATTTTGGAAATAGTTTCTGAAAATTGATATCTGGTGTTCGTTCAATACAGAATTTGCCATAAATGGTTCATAAACCTCCAAGATATATAGATATATCCATCTGTATCAAATGACTTCTATGATATCTATGTATATGATTTCGCAAATAATATGCAATTATTTGACTACCCATGTTTGTTGTTGCTTGGAAATATTTTAGCTGCGGGTTGTACTGCATGCTTTATTAGCTTGAGTTGTAAGTTGGCTTGAAGGTTGGTCTGTTGGACACTCTCTTCTTCTCTCTCTGTCTCTCCCTCTCTCGCTCTCCCTTTGTTTCTCTTTCTCTTTCTGTCTCCCTCTCTGCCTCCCCTCGCTCTCTCTCTGTCTTTCTCTCTGTCTTTCTCTCTCTCTTTCTCTTTCTCTTTCTCTTTCTCTTTCTCTTTCTCTTTCTCTTTCTCTTTCTCTTTCTCTCTCTCTCTCGCCCTCCTGCAGCGTCATGTCCCCCCGAGTTGCCTCGATTTCCGTGCGCTGCCCCTTCATGACCCCTGAGTTGTCTTCGTACTACTGGTCTTGCGCTTGATTTCCCCTTCATGTCCTTTGCATGTCTCGTCACTTCCCAGAATGTCCTCGTCACGTCCCCTTCCATTCAAATTCCCGCTTCATGTCCGTGTCATTTTGTCGGTATGTCCGATTCATCTTCAATGTGTGTCCTTTTCTTTCATTGCCAATCATTTCCCTACATCTCCCTTCGTGTCCTTGTCCTGCGTTTGCTTTTCAGTCCCCCCCTGTTTAATTTCTTCCCCCTTCATGTCCCTTTCAGTTCCCCTTCGTGTCCCTTACAAGTCGTTTTTCCTGTGCTGTCGACTTCCTGTCCCCTGCATGTCCTGGCATTTCCCTTTGTTTCCTTTTTCATGTCCCTGCACTTCCGGAAGAAAACATGTTTTCTCACGTTTTTCGCAAGATGTTCGGCGAAAGAAGCAGAAATTTTGCGACAGTGGCTCCCCGAGGACTATTTTTAGTGGAACGTCATCAGATTGCCACGCGTGTGGGGTACGTATCAGACGTCCGGCGGGCGGGGAAGACTGGAACAAGCTGTCTGCGCATTCTGCCTACATACTGTACTGACACGGCTGGGCCGTCAACCCACAAACAGAAAGTCTTGACGCAAGCCTGCAGTTGTCCCAGTGATGACCCTGAGCAGCTTGCAGTTGGAGATGCTCGCGGCATCAACAGTGCAGACTGCTATAGCACTGGTGGGACGGGCCTGGAAGTGTGCTGTTAGTTTTGACCGTTCGCCCTTCTCATCAAGTCAGTCCTGTTATGCGCACCATCACACTTGTGCTGAAGCTGCAAGTTACGCTAAAACCGCTTGTCCAGCAGAACAAAAAGAAAGTAGTATTTGTCAGCTCGCACGCCCAGTCAACCGGCAGTAGCTCGATCTTCAAACCCAGCGTTAGGATGGCTTGTTTGAACCGCACAGTCGCCAGGGTTAGTTGCTCTGTGAGCTCAATAATCTTGAGCACGAGAATGTTGGACCCACCCATCCAAGTTTCAACGTTGAAAGGTAGATATCCAGAGGGCTGTACATCAGGAGCTACAGTTGAGTGTCTTGCCATGCTTTGGATTCTTGTTAGATAGGATAGCAATCGGTGAAGACAGCAAACAAATGAGGCAATCGTGTGCCACATTTCGGACACGTTGAGGCCTTTGAGAATCTGGGTTCTACGTTGCTGCCAGGCGTGGGGATTCGGCCACGGGGAGGCGCCACCAATCTGTTGGTCTTCAAGACGTGGGTCTGTGTTTTTTTGGCACCGTTTCAGGTGACTGGGAAGGAACCAAGAGGAACGTCGGAGGTGCTCCTATTTTGACGTTTTGACGTTGGGGGGTTTTGGTTCTCCAGGACAATTTTCTCCGTAATGCATCACGAACGAGTTGGTCCTTTTGCCAATGCTTGATCTTGCTTAATGAAGCTTCCTATGCTCAGGCTTTTCGCTGAAGTGACGCAAGGAGTCCGAACCAGCCAAGGGCAGAGCCTGCGCCTGCCCGACGGGCTGCTGGTGCCCAAGCGCGCTCTGCATCAGAAGGCCGTCGAGTTGGATGCTTCCCACAGCGTCTCGGACAGAACGGTCGATATTCAGAATTTGGGTAATCTTGTTCGAGGTGGTGCAGAAAAGGCCTCTTGCAAGGGGAGCCTCCCCCCGTGGAAAAAATGGGAGAAGAGGGAGACGCTGAGAAGACGAAGTAAGAGAAAGACATAGGCGGGGGCCAACCTAATGTTTGGAGTGTGTGTGTGTGCGAAATTTGGGGGAAATAGCCAAAGACAGTTGAAAGCACACACACGCACTCATCCCCCTTATATGTTTAGCAACTACCAAGGCGAAGACATTAAAACTGATTGAAAGTTCAGATGCTAGAACAAAATAAGGTTAACTAATCATAGCCTTATACATTTTTTACTTCCTTGAGCATACATATGTATATCTCCTTCATTATTTCTAAATATTTTCTTTTGTTTTGCTTTATTCATTCCTTATTCATTTTCGTTTTAAGTTAGTTTGCACTTCCTAGAAAACTGCTTGCTTGACCAAGCAAACACCTTGCCTACTTTAATGTTCTAAAAATTCAACCTATGACTTTAATATCTTGACTAAAGAGAGGCCAGTTCATATTTACGTTGATGTTTTACATGTTGCTTTCCATTTCCAAATTTAGTTGATGCTTCTCGGTTCTACAATGCTTGTAAAATGCTTCTGTGTCATTGAACAATTACATGCTTCACAACCAACAATTCGTTTTTTAATTATAATCTCCTTCTAGTGTCCTTGTCCTATACTCTTCAACCTCTCTAAATCTTCTTGTTTGTTCCACATTGTATCTGTCTTTATGTTTTGGTCTGCGGTTTACCTTGTATTGATTTCATTTTTAGCAGTTGGGCCTACCTTCTTCAAATTCATTTGGCATTTTGTGTTTATGTTACAACACTGTTTCTGAGTGTCCCCCATACCTCCTATTATATTTTCTGGGCCTGCGGCCTCTAGCCGGCTACGCCTCTTTGAAGTTATGCCATGTCATGTCATGTTTTTTGTATGAGAAACGTATCCTGTGGTATGATATGGCTGGTTAGGTTACGCAATGATATGGCTGGTTAGGTTACGCATGTTGCCCGCCCCAACCCCAGATGATGCCGGGGATGCCAGCTTTCTGGGCCCCAGCCGGGCCCCAACCCAGAAGGCTGACATGGGGTCGCGCGCGTACGCGCGACAGAGGCCCCAGAAAGAGGAGCCCAAAAAGAGCAGCCCGCAAGCCAGCCCGGAAACGCAAATGCAACAAACCACAGTAAATAGCAGCGTTTTGTGGCTGGGGTCGCGCGCACACGCGCGCCAGAAGGCCCGAAAACCAACGGGAAAAAGCAAGGACCGCGCAGCGCGCGAGCCAGCCACAGCAAAGCAAAACGGACAGAACAACAGCCCACCGCTCAGCGCAGCAGTTTTTGCATCGCCGGCATGCCCGGCAGCGCTTGGCGCCAAAATGCGCGAAAATGAGCCTCGCTTATATCCCTCCGACACCTTCTAAAACAGTGCTTCATGGGTTGAGAGGCTTTTTGGAAGGAAGTCTTGATGATGCAGACCAAGCCCCGCTGAAGCATCACCCAGGCCCAACCCCAGACCCTGGCCTAAACCCATATACGCGATGTTTTGCGAGGGTTTCCCACAGGCAAGCAAAACCGCAAGCCCGAGCTGGTGATGCAGAGGTGCCGGATTTACGACCAAGTGACGAGGGTCGGCGGCGCCAGGGTGCAGCCCCTGTAGCTTGTACTAGCAGATGCTACCCCAAGGAGGCGTAGCCGACGCCTGGGGGGGGGGAGGTTGCTTGGCGGGCCACGAAGAAGGGCTCCAGGAACGTGGCATTTGAAGAATCCTGACAGATGAAGTTGTGATTTTGGCTGACATAAAGGCGAAAGCATGTGATTTCTTAGGCTGCCTCCGCAAGCATCAACATGTCTTAGTTTGCGGTCGTTGTTTTTTACAAGCTATTCCGCGCGCCTCGAACACAACGACACCTCAAGAAGTGTCAGCGCCCATGCCAATCAAATGGCAGCCTCTGCGTCTAGGGAGCAGATTCTGTGATGCACTTGGCCACCCCGGAGCAACAGAAAGCGTGCGGACTCATCCGACCACTAGCGGCAGTGGTCGGATAGAGCGGCGCAGCATCGCCAGCGTCGCGAGCAACACCCCCAGCAGCGCCAGCGGCACTAGCATCACCAGCAACACAAATCTGACAAGTTGGACCACTTTCGGAAGGGGTCGGATGGAGCGGCCCCGCATCGCCAGTATCACCAAGCGCACACCAGCAGTCGTGATAATGCCTTAACCAGCATCACCGACGACACCCGACCACTTCCGCAAGTGGTCGGATGGAGCGACCCAGCATTGCCAACATCACGAACAACGCCCCCAGCGACGCCTGTGGCAGCTGATAACAGCTGTGGTGATAATCATCATCGTGCATCCTCTGCATCACCAGCAGTCATGATTATAATTATAATCATGACTACGCGTCCTCTGCATCTCTAATCGGCTCTCGCTTGCAACGTATATGAAAAAGAGAGAGACGATAGTGATCATGATGACGATGAGAAGGGATGATGATGATGATGACCATCATGATGATGATGATGATGAGGATGATGATGATGATGACTGTGATGATAACTATCATCGTGGCATCCTCTGCATCACCAATGCTGCCTAAAAAGGGATGACGATGACCATGATTATAATGATGATAAGGATGAGGATTGTGATGAGAACCATCATCGCAGCATCCTCTGCATCACCAATCGTGCCTCACGCCACACTTGAAACGTATGTAAGAATAAGAAAGAGATGATGACCATCATGGTGATGATGAGAAGTATGATGATGATGATGACCATCATCATGATGATGATACGGATGATGACGATGATGACTGTGATGATAATTATCATCGTACACCCTCTGCGTCACCAATGCTGCCTAATAAGGGATGATGATGACCATGAGGATAATGATGATAAGGATGAAGACTGTGATGATAACAATTCTTGTAGCATCCTCTGCATCACCACTGCTGTTTATTAAGAGATGATGATGACCATGATGATAATGATAAGGATGAGGATTGTGATGACAACTATGATAGTAGCATCCTCTGCATCACCAATGGTGCATAACAAGTGTATACCAGAATAAGAAAGAGATGATGATGACCAACATTATGAACGGTGATGATGATGATGATGACCGTCATCTTGTTGATGATAGCACCGTAGCATCCTCTGCGTCACCAATGCTGCCTCATAAGGGATGATGATGACAATGATGATCATGATCATGAGAACGAAGACTGTGATGAAAACTATTATTGTAGCACGCTCTGCATCACCAATGCTGCCTAATAAGAGATGATGATGACCATGATGATAACCATGATAAGGATGAGGATTGTGATGATAACTATCGTCGTAGCATCCTCTGCATCACCAATGATGCCCAACGCCACACTTGAATTGTAAACAAGAATAAGAAAGAGATGATGATGACCATCATCGCAGCATCCTCTACATCACCAATGGTGCCTAGCGCCACACTTGAAACCTGTATAACAAAAAAGAAAGAGATCATGATGACCATCATGAAGATGATGAGAAGTGTGATGGTGATGATGACGACCATCACCATGATGATGATACGGATGATGATGACTGTGAAGGTAACTAGCATCGTAGCACCCTCTGCATCACCAATGCTGCCTGATAAGGGATGATGATGACCATGATTATAATGATGATGAGGATGAAGACTCTACTGATAGCTATTATTGTAGCACCATCTGCATCACCAATGCTGCCTAATACGAGATGATGATGGCCATTGTGATGATAACTATGATTGTAGCATCCTCTGCATCACCAATGCTCCCTAACGCCCCGCTTGAAATGTATATAAGAATACGAAAGAGATGATGCTGACCATCATGAAGATGGTGAGAGGGTGATGATGATGATGACCGTCATCATGATGATGAAAAGGATGATGATGATGATGACTGTGATGATAACTATCATCGTAGCGTCCTCTGCATCATCAATGCTGCCTAATAAGGGATGGTGATGATCATGAAAATCATGATGACTTCTGACGATAACTATTATTGTACCATACTTTGCATCACCACAGCTGCCTAATAAGAGATGATGATGACCATGATGATAATGATGATAAGGATGAGGGTTGTGATGATAACTATCGTAGCATCCTCTGCATCACCAATGCTGCCTAACGCCACACTTGAAATGTAAATAAGTGCACGAGGAAGATGATGACAAGTGTCATCGTAGCATCCTCTGCATTTCCAACAATGGATCATGACCACCATGATGCTGACGATAAGTGTCACCCCCTGCATCTCCAACGATGACGATGATAAGCATCATTGTAGAACCCCCTGCATCTCCAACTGTGCCTAACGTAACTTTTGACATGTGTGTAAGAAAAAAGAATGCTAGTGACCGTCATGATGATGACTGTGATGATGGCACCCCCTGCATTTCCAACAGTGGACCACCGTGATGCTGATGATTAGTATCATCTTCGCACCCCCTGCATCTCCAACGATCACGGTGATAAGTGTCATCCTAGCGCCCCCTGCATCTCCAACTGTGCCTAACTTGACTTTTGAAATGAAAATAATTCGAAAAGAAAAGGATGCTGATGACCGTCATGATGACTGTAAGGATGCTGATAATGAAGGATGATGATGACGATTACAACAATGATGGTGATGATGACGAGCAGCGCCAGCACCACCGGCGTCACCAGTGAAACAAATCTGACTCATCCGACCATTTGCGGAGGTGGTCGGATGGAGCGGCCCGAACAACATCCCAGAGGGACCAATAGACCCTTGAAAATTCGACCCTTTTTAAATAAGGGTGTAAGCCCTAGATTGCAAAGTCAAATAAGGGTCTATTTTTTTTACACCATGAGGGAGGGAGGGGAACACATGAGGGAGGGAGGGGAACACATGAGCATCACTCTTCTTGTCTCGCATGGCTCAGCAGTTTG